TGGAATGATCTAGTGGTTTGATGACCTTCTGCTTGACAAACAGGAAAATTTATGGGCATAGTTAAAGGGACATTATGTAAGGATTACTGTCATCTAGTGGGGCAACGGGGGTATTTCACTTAAACAAAACACTATACCAGAGGTCACCTTGATATGTGCTTGAGAATGGCTTTGTTCCCATTCAAACCCAGGTTTAAAGCCTTGCAGGTCAGCCTAAAGCCCACTGCTCTCAGTAAGCCATAAGAAACAAAGACATTTTTTTTTTTAATGGTCCAATCAGGTGTTTTATAAAATATGTGAATCAGGAAATAAATCAAACTGAAAAATTGTTCTTCTCTACTTCAAAAATCACTTTAGGTTTTAAAATGGAAAAATTTATATTTTTTTTTATTCGTTTTTTATTTTTAAACTCAATGTATAACATGGATGCATAAACACCTAATTTTATTTCAGTGTTAAATTCTGTTTAAAGTAACAGATTAAAATTAAAATGTCTCTGAACCTTTACTGGTTGTTGATTTTCTTTATTCGGACCATGCTGATTTTTAATTGGTTACCCCTGCCCTAGCACCCCTGCCCTAGCCTTAAACACATACTGCAGCAAAGGTAGGCGCCGTTTGTCAAAAAGCCTCGACATCGTATACGTAACCATGTCCTCGGAAGTGAAGTCTCTAGAAGCTGGAATTTAGTGTGAGAAAAAGTCAGCATTGAAAGTTAATAAACCAAAATAAACCTACAATTCTATACCAACAAGATCGGTATATATTTGCAGGATCTTCTGTCTTTATTTTATGGCAACAAGCACCACTGACTAATTAAACCGAATGGAAAAAGTTAGCTTTACGCTAATTAAGGCAGAAGAGTTCAATCACTTGTCAAGGAGATACAGTACAACATTACCTGCATTTTTCTACATTCATGCAGAGTTTCAGTTGTTGGGTTAGCATCTCCAAATGATCTGCAAGCATCGTTATTTCGTGTTAGTATTATGTTGTCCCTCGTTTGTAATTTCAGGATGGCAAACTCTCATACCGCTTCCCAAACGGGTGACATATAAACTAAAGTTAACTTGTAGCTTATAAAATGTATCTGAATATTAGTGGAGGTAATGATACACCAATAATAACATTTATGTCAATGCACTTATCGATTTCAGGCAGTAGAAAAGAGAAATTACCCCTTTAAGGTCTGATACTGACCAAAAGGAGAAACATTGTTGCTTAACGACCTTTGTGGTCCTCAGATTTCTACCATCAGGAAGAAGGTTAACTTATACCTAAACAGCAAGATTAACCTGGGACGAGATTGTAAACAAGTCTTTGAATATGAGGTAGTTCCTCTGAACCCTCTGATCTTCTCCCTGCAGGATGGTGGTTTTGGAAACGCGTCAGGTTGACGACCAGCTGGGTCTATCCAATCTGTATCTCCTGGAAATCGCTGAGAACTACGTCCTGCTGTCCTGACTCTCCTAACACTCCTGGGAAACCTTCCTGATTCTCAGAAATCATCTGGGAACAGCAAGAAAAAACACCAGGCATGATCATTTGTGAACGTTTGTTTACGGTCGGTAGGCGTTGCTGTGACTCTGAGGAGGCAGAGGAGGAAATTATGCCAGAAGGAGATTGTTTGTAGCTCTTCTCCCTCCACCAGAGGGAGTCTGCTCGTTTATTTATGCTCTTTTCAACTCTGTTGGTTACATCAGGAAAAATCTGGAGACACCAGAGAACTGAGAAAAACCCTGAAAGATTAGTGAAAAATGGTCCCACTTTAGGAAATGAAGAAGAGTGTCTCCTTCATTCCTGCACAGTATTATAGATCACAGCATGCAGGGACTGACAGATATGGCTTCCATACGTCACCGGCTCTTCTGCTGTGTTGTGTGACCTGAGCTTGTGTGTCAGCGTTGTATTGTGTGTGTTACTGGCATTACACTCTAATAAAGGTAAATAACACAACATATGCTTGGCTGTGTCTTTATTTAAAATGGGAATAATGGGGTGGATGTTAGAATTAGAGGGTGTTAGAAGGATTTTAGAAGGTTTAAAAAATTAAGCCCCTTTTTTTTTTTTACAGTGTCCTGTCTGGTGATGTGGCAATAAGAATAACTTTCTTGATGCCAAAAAAAGAGCCCAACAGATTTTACTTTCATAAGTGGAGCAGTACGGCTATCGCCATAGTGTTCTGCTTGTTTTATGCATATAAATTGCTTTATTATAATTATGCAGGGAGTTTTACAGATTATATGGGCACTGCAATGTAAGTAGAACAGGAAAGGATGAAAGAAAGAGGAGATAAAAGGGAGATAATGATAAAACATTTTCAGTCTGCTTCATCACCTGCAAAGAGATGTAAAAAGAACAGCACAACCAACAGACATGGTATGAGACATACGGTACAATAAAGCAACACCTAGATACTATTGCTGAAGTATAAGTATTATTTAATCTGACATGTAAACTGTGGTAGCTGAATATCAGAATATCGGCTTTCTTTATGGAAGTGAATATCTAAGTACCTAAGTAAAAATGCTTAATAGTGGTTATGAAGAGCCGAAGAGGCGCCCCCCGAGAGCACTGAGCCCAGTGCCGGTGCCCTGGCTGGGGCTCCTACCGGCCAGGAACAAGCCAGTAGCCACCCGGGCATCCATCCCCAAACCCCGAGCTCCACCAGTGCCCCTTTTCAATCAATATATTCAACTGGTTCAATATTTAATAGACAAACACAGTACTGAGGACACCTCATGCTGATAACCTGTAGTTGTCCTTGATGCTCTAGTCACTAGGCCACCAGTCGCCATATAACCTGTTCAACAGTAATTCATTAGTTTTCACTTGTCAGCTGCACTCACATACACTCACAACTTCTATGCTGTTTATGTTTCTTGTCAGCTGCTCCTTTGTTTAGAGTCACCACAGAAAGTCAACGTTCACACAGATTCTGCAGCAGTGGTGACTTCTCATTGAATACTAGGGAGGCTAAACCCACCTTGTAAAATTCGTAAAATGATTGGCCAAATATGCAATGCTAAACTTCATAAATTTAGTCATTAAACTGCATTAAATATGCATTGAAATTTGCCTGATTTCATGAGTATGTTGGTCTTTAGTGTGAAATAAACAGACTTAATCTGCTTAATCGTTAGGAGATACATCATTTCTAGTTTTATATCTTGAGGTAATCACCCAGTTATTACAGCAAAACAAGCTCTGGGACTGGTTATCTCCTGCTAGTGAGATCATGAATTTGTTATCAGGACAGAAACAATACTTCATCTCTTCATCTGAAGGTAAGACAAAAGAAATACCATTGCCCTGTGATGGACAGGTGACCTGTCATGGGCGTATCCTGCTTTTTGCCCATAGACTACCAGAGGTAGGCACTGGCATGATCAAAGTTATGCCAAACTGTGCCAAAATGGCACGGTAGGGGTCCACCTGAGTTTTTTCAATCTAAACATCTATAAATTCTCAGCTGCTTGCTGTATGGTGTGAAATAACAATAATGAAGAGTGTGTGGACCGGGCCCTCCGTGCGAAAGTTGAAGGGAAGGTCATGAGAGAGATGAATAAGTGGTTAGGGTTTAACTAGCCTCCCTCGTGGCAGGAAAGGAAGACAGCTGCCTTTCCTGCCATTTTTTCACTTTCACTATCTTTCATCTGGCTAGAGAAAGATGTAGGTCCTTGATGGACTGAAGTTGTTTTTCTTGGGAGTAACCAATGTTTGTGTGTAAGACGGTTTTATATATGCAGGGGTGCAACCACCCTGGCAGAGCACACTGACAGTGCACCGAAGGTGTCTCTCCATCTGCAAACGTAAAATAAATCTGTGTTCTTCCTTGCACCGTTTATCACAGTTCTCTACTACTTCACAATGGACACTGCACTGTAAGTAGAACAGGAAAGGAAAAACAGAAAAAAAGGAAAAAAGATTAAAGAAAGAGGAGATAAAAGGGAGGCAACAATGAAACATGTTTAGTCTGCTTCATCACCTGTAAAGAGATGTGAAAAGAACAGCACAAATAATGGATATAGCACCTTAGTACCATCGCTGAAGTATAAGCACTATACTACTATTTAACTGATCTGACATGTATACTGTGGCAGATAAGAAAATGGGCTTTCTGTATGGAAGTGAATCTCTAAGTTCCGGGAACCAAGCACCTGTAGTTGTTTGTGAGACTGCACTTGTACATGCAAAGTTTATCCAAAGTAAAAATGCTCAGTAGTGGTTGTGAAGAGCCGAAGACACGCCCCTCCAGAGCACTGAGGCGAGCGCTGGGGGGCCCAAAGCCCCAGACGCCCAGAGGGACCCCAAGAGCAAAGGCGCCCAGGAGGGACCAACCAAGGAAATCCCCCCCACCAAGGGAGGAGGACAGACGACCCCGAGGAAATCCCCAAAACACTGCAATGCTGAAGCCCCCGGGGAGCCGTGGGGACGAGTCCGCGGGCTCCGCCGGCAGCCAGCCACCCTAAAGTGGATCCGGCCATGGGCCCCAGGGACCAGAGGCCCCGGGGGGCACGCAGCCCCAGCCGGGCACTGGGGGCCCAGGTCCCGTGGAGCAGCCGGTACCCGCCCGGGAATCCAACCCCAAACACGGAGAACCACCATCATTTTTCAACTTACTTTCTTCATAATATTCATCATATTATGACTTTATTCTAAAAAAAAAAAAAAAAAAAAACATAAAATAAATAAAAACTCTCTAGTCTGTCCCTAATACTCTATTGTAAACTATTGCCCTTTTGTTTAATGATTTGGTTTTTTTGGGGGGGGGAGGGGGGCAGCCCACCCATGTGATTTTGTTTTAGAATCGCCATTGTACACAGATTTTTTGTTTCGTTGATTTGTTTTATTTTGTTTTGTTTGTTTGTTTTTTTAGTTTTATTTAAAATAAACTAGACTTGCAATCCCCTTGAAAGGAGCAGCAATATCTAACAAAGGTGCATCAGCAGCACCATCTAGCCGCCCTCCCTCGGACCTCCGCCGCAGTGCCAGTTTCCACCACCAGCAGCAGCAGCAGCAGCTCGTCTCACTCGCTCCACCTCCCCTGGATGATCGGAGGGACACACCGGCCCAGGATGATGCTTGCACCGGCTCCCAGAAGCTGGCTCTGCGGGGTTGGGCAGCAGGCAGCAGCGGAGCGGCTGTAGGATGCATCGGACCGGAGCGGCTGTGCTGCAGCGGGCCTGGCTGAGCTCGGCTGCTGCTCTTTCCCATCAGTCCTGATTCGGTTCTCCTTTTATTTTTATCGCAGTATTTTTTTTTTATTATTTCCAGGTCAGAATCACTGTTTCCTGTGCAGCTCGTTTGCACTGAAAATGGCCGGAGATGGCGGCGCTCTGAAGGATATCAATGAGATTAAATCCCAGTTCCGGACCAGGGAGGGCTTCTACAAGCTGCTCACCCTCTCAGATTCACAGCAGCGGGGCGGCCTGCCACGGGGCCCGACCGCCGGAGCCACTCTGGGGCCCGGGGCCGGACCCGGACCGATCCCCGGAGCAGGGGTCGGGCTGCTGCAGGGGCCCGGGGCCGCCTCCTCCTCCTCCAACGCTGCGGCCAGCTCCTCCCCGGCGGGGTTCCTGCCGCCGGTCCGGGTCTCCATGGTGAAGCTGCAGCCCGAAGACCCGAGCGAGGAGTCGGAGCGGGTTTGCTTCAACATCGGCAGGGAGCTGTATTTCTACACCTACACCAACATCAAGAAGGTGAGCCTCCTCTGCATCCAGCTTAGCCCAGAATGATCACCTGCTGATCGGCTGCTTGCATCCCAGGTTCATCATGTTTAGTCTGGGGGGCCTCCTGGATGAGATCTGCTAAAATGGATGCAGCTCATCAGGAGGCTCAGCAGGAGGCCCACGGTGATGCTGGAGGAGCAGGAAGTAAGCAGCTCTGCCTCCTCCCCACCAAAGCTCCTCTACTGCTGCAGCTGCTTTTCAGTCTCCAGAAGGCAGCTGATGGACCATGGAAGCTGAAATACTCATCAGCAGCTTAACAGACTACTGTTGATTTAACAGAAAGAGCATTTAGGCGTCTAAATGTGGACATTGGTGAAATTATGCCTGAGTTCCTCAAAAAGGCCCAATTTTACATTCAAGGAGTTTAATCTGGATCTATTTCCTCACTAAGCATTTTCCACAACCAACAGATTTGATTCTTAAATATGAATTAATGTTTTCTACAATATTTACCATCTCTAGGAGATGTTTTGTCCTTTCCAGAAGTCCTTGAACCTTTCATCTGATGGGGGTTAAAAGGAGGTATTAAAGAAAAATACTGATTTTTTCAAATAATAATAGTAATAATAATTTAACTCTATTAATCTCACACTGGAGAAATTTTAACCCATCCCCTTGGGGAGCAGTGGGCTTCCACTGTGCGGCGCCTGGGGAGCAGTGTGGGGTTAAGGGTGTTGCTCAGGGACCCAGAGTGCAGGCTTCTCAGTGCACTGCTCTAACCACTAGACCAACACTCCCCCAATCAAAATTAGGAATTAAATTACCAACCTGGAACGATGTGGAAACATAATTCCCCCCAAACCTAAAATCTGGTTCCTGCACCTTTAGTGATGACATTGATGATAATGACATGACAAGGGATTGCTCTGTTTTCTTTTCAAGTTGCTGTAATTCAGCCACACTGGAGAAACGTTTCAGTATTCAGAATGACCAAAAGCAGGGATTTTTACTCAGGACTTTCTGATACCATGACACAGTATTGTTCTTGAAAACACTCTCAACTCTCAACACTCTGAATTTTTCACCCAAGGGTTCTTTTTTGGGTAGAGTGCTTCAGGCACAGTTAGGTGTTCTGGTTGAACAAAGATCGAGAAAGACACTTTGCAACAGAATCCCACCTGATACCCGTATAAAACGTACAACTATGGGTAGAAGAAACCCTGTATTATTTCAAGGGTGTGGGCAGGGGTATAAATTAACAAAATGCGGGCAGGTATACAGAAGCTTACAGCATGAAGTAAACATAATTTTTTTCTTATTTATTAACTCTACATTAAAAAAATTATGGATTCAAGAATATCCAGATAACCTGATTTGGGCCAATTTACAGCTGTTAATCTGTGAGCACATCGCGCACTGGATGTGTTTGTGAGGCAATGATCTTTTCTGCCTCTCATATTATAAACAGGTGTGTATAAACAGTCCTGGTCAGGTGTTAAATAGGGATAATTGCGGGTAACGGATTGGGTCTTAGTTCTGAACTCCACGGCTGCGGGTGGCCCTGGGTTTTAATTCGGGATAATTCAAATCAATTCAGTTTATTTATATAGCGCCAATTCACAACACATATCATCACAAGGCACTTTCCAGTTCACTAGATCATACAGTCAAATTGATTCAAAGTTTTCTATCTAAGGAAAACCAGTTGATTGCATCGACTCATTGACTCTAAGGCAATCCATCACACTAAGCATGCTTGTAGCGACAGTGGAGAGGAAAAACTCCCTTTGAACAGGAAGAAACCTCCAGCAGAACCAGGCTCAGTGTGAGCGGCCATCTGCAGAGGCCGACTGGGGTTCAAGGAGACAGAAGCAGAGATACAAAAATCAACTATAAAAGGCGGCTCCATCCAGGAAACACAGAGCCAGGCAGTCGAGCTCCAAGCCAGCTCCCATGTCAGAGGATGAAGAGAGCACATCCAGCCAGTCACAGTCAGAGAAACAGAACTACACTGGAAAAACAGGCTGAGCTCCTACCTCTATAAACTAAGCTGATATTTCTCTCCAGGATGGCGTCACAGCCACAGGCGAAGCTACTATGAGAAAAAGCAGAGAGAGCATAACATTAGAGATTGAACTAACAGATTCTGCAGAGCGGGTATCAGGTCTGGTGTCGGTTCTGAACTCTACAGGTACAGGCGGATACATTTTTGAAAAATCAGACCCGTGTAGGACTCTGCTAGGAATGCTAGTTCTGGAACGACTCAAACCATTAAGCTACTTAAGGAACTTTCCTGAAGTCATGACCTCCGCTCTAATAAAAATGATTAATTCTGCTTAAAATCCAGGCTATCCAGGAAATGATTTCAGATTCTGACAACAAGAACTGCTGAAAATATAAAGTCATTGAGGTGCAGCAATCTAAGAAAGTTGAAGATGAAGCCTGACTCTTAAAACACCTCCTATTGTTAGATATTGACCTGATAAAAGAATATGTCTTGAGTGTCGATGAGGGGTTAAGTTTTGCTCACAGGTCTCTGCTCTGCTTTCTCCAGGCCGTGGATCTCAGCAAACCCATAGACAAGAGAATCTATAAGGGGACTCAGCCGACATGTCACGACTTTAACCAGTACTCGGCCACAGCGGAGAGCGTGGCACTCATCGTGGGTTTCTCCGCTGGCCAGGTCCAGTATCTCGACCCGATTAAGAAGGAAACCAGTAAGCTCTTCAATGAGGAGGTATGATTTCTGTTGCATGTATTTTGTTTTAGAGGAAATGGCAGAGGACATTCCTCTAGTTACTAGAGAGATCAAACTAATGGGAACTATGAGTAGAAAACTTAAAGCCTCCATCATCCAGTAGCCTTTTCACGATTGTGTGTTTCTCACCTTGTTGTGAAGGATTCTTGTGTCCAGCTCTCCATTTGACTTTGGTACAAAAAGGAAATAATGGTCAATCAGTGGTCCTGTGGCTGAAAAACAAGTCCAGATCATCATGTCTCCACCACCGTACCTGTGGGTTGCTATGAAGAGTTTGTGTTGATATGCTGTGTTTGGTTTTATGTGCTTAAAGAAAAATCTCTGCTGTGATCTATCTAAATAACTTTACCCAGAATTCTGGTTGTTTATTTAGATTTCACTTTAAAAACCTACGCCAGGCTGGAAAATGTCCTTGAGATAGAAGAGAGTTTATTTTTTAATCCCCTAAAAACAAGTTAATGGGTTTAGTCTTTTGAACTCTGACATCTGACATGCAGACTGAGGCCTAAGGAGTCTGAGATTAAGCTCTTGGCTTTTTTTTTTTTTTTTTCTCATTCCACCGTCAGACTTTGAGGTTATTTGCTTGGACATTCTCTTCTGGGTAGATTGGTAGGGATTTTAACAAATAATCAATTCTCTATTGATGGTTTATCAGATTACTTTTTTTTTTCAACCAAATAATTTATAAAGGTCACTTAAAAGGAAATTATTTCAATTTTGTAGTGTTACTGTCGTCCACTAGAGGGCACCGTTACATATTCACACCACTGATCTCTACTAATTCACTGGATTGCTGATTGCCCATAAAAAGTGAAGCCACCATCCGGCATGTTGGTACTCCCCACTCCCACAGAGACATGCAGTTAAAATGCCTTCATGTGTAGCATTTGGCTGGAAAAACAAGCAGTTTCCTGCTGTGGGAAGATGTTCCACAGGTAATTTCACAGTCAGTGGATGTACTAACCAAGAAAAACCATACATATGCCGATGTATCCCATAGTATAGTATGTAGCGTTACATTGGTTTCGCGACATACAGTGTTTGTTGTATTTGTCATTTGAAAAAGTCATGTGCTGAAATATACTGCATGTCATAATGACAGAAAAACAGCAACTTGATCATTTGACCCCTATATATATATATATATTAGTGCTGTCAATCGATTAAATTTTTTTAATCGCGATTAATCGCATCAATGCCTGAGTTAACTCGCGATTAATCGCATTTTAATCGCAAATTTTTTTTCTGATTGAAAATCATTTAAATACTCTCGATGACATACAAAAAATACATACAGGCTAGGTTTGTGCCAATGTTCTTTTTTTTAAATGAGAACAGGTCACAGATACTGATTTATGCCATAGAAACATATGGCAAGAAGATGGGGAGGCATGTAGCAAAAAATAACAAATATGTAGCCAAAAAAAGGCCCTGAAAACAGGCTGATGTAAAAGACAGTCTTTACAGTTAATACAGTCTTTTGAACAAAGACAAGCATTTTACCCTGCTGCTATAAAATGTAGTAGAGTTAACATTAGATGTTAATTAACCAAGGTAATAATGAACAATTTTCAATCAATACATCAAAATCAATAGACCGACATCACTAGATGGAGGTAGTCTATGAAAGTTACTTTTCAGACTCTTAACAAAAATGAGAACACACTCACACCCACCCACCCACACACAGACACACCCACCCACACACACACACGATACCGACCTGTGACAGCAAGAGTGCCGTAGCAGATTCCATTTCCCCTCAGTAATCTGTTTTCTCAGCGTATTTCAGGTTGCTACTAGTTACCAGACACTCAACTTGTTTGTTGGTGGTGGGGCTTAAAGAAAAGGCATTAGCGTCACCCAGTGTATGAGCGTCTTTTTTCCTTGAGGAGCTCCGCTCTAGAAGCCTATGAGAAATGCATACACTGGGGGAAAATAGCCCCGCCTTCCCGCAGGCTGCAGCGGGATGTACTTGGAAAATTTTACCATAAAACCACATAGCGTTAATCTCACGTTAAAAAAATTATCGCCGTTAAAATGGCCTCGCGTTAACGCGATAATAACGCGATAATTTTGACAGCACTAATATATATATGTATATATATAATCATGCATGCACAACTTGCAAATAGAAAAATACGATAGCATTAACAGACATGTAATTGTAATTCAGTCTTTATGTAAAATCTTGAAACTATGTGTAAAATGTAATTACCATAAAAATATAATACATGTACATCATCAATTTAGCACTTTTGGCACATCTGAATTTTTATGCTCCATTAACACATTAATTTTATTGTGATGGATTTGTATAATATGTTATTTTACATGGTTTAGAGACTTCATACTGACTATGTAATGTGATGTGCCTATTTTTTTTTATTATAAGTTACAGTAATCTACTTATTCTATGAAACAGCAAATGTGTGTGACAGTGATGAAGTTATCTTTATTTTAAAAGTCTGAAAATGGGAAAATCATCGTTGTTCATTGCTGTAGTGCACATACGGTTTACATCACGACTGCTCTAACAAGGGAGTACCAATATGGCGGCCAGTGGCTTTACTTTAACCCCGTACTACCAACGGGCGTTCAGCAATCCCATGAATAGAGATCAGTGATTCACACTGGTACCTGCAAGAAAAGACATCCCAGAGAGGAGTTATGCTGGAGCAGAAACATGATCCAGATTCTGGTTCTACATTATTTTCACTTTTTTGTAGCGACAAGGACACAGATTGGCTATTCTGTTTCTTTAAATATTTGCCTAATTATAAACCATTTAGCCATGCTGCTTGGTGGATCATTGTAACTTCTCTGCTGTGCTCCTGAGGCAAGGATGTGAAGGTAGAACAGTGGAGTTTACCCAAAATTTTAAATTATCACACAGTATTTGAAGACGGCTTTAGAGACGTCTTTAACATTCATATCAGAGCAACCAAACCCACCTGTTAAAAACTATGCTAACAGCAGAAATCGCAGCACTAAATAATGAGATGATTATAACGCTAAAAACAGAGATAAATCACAGTTTTAGTACTTTATCACCTCGCTAACATGAACTTGTTTATTGCCAGACAGTATTTTTAGAGCGACATACCCTGGTTTTTTTAAATAATTTAACATCTCTGTACATCTCTGAAATCATAAATATTTCACGTATTTTATTAATCTCTTTTTATATTCAGTAACCTAATAGGTTCCTGTTTTGTTATATATTATGAATAAGTTTGATAACATGTAATAAAAAAAAGTTTTTGTTTATTCAATCAGTATTTCATACAGCTAGAACAATACATTATTTAAATATAAGGATTTAATTTAGATTTTTAAATGTGGCATATTGTAAAAAACTATTTAGCCCCTTTTATTAAAGATCCTCTTGATATAAGAGAGAAAACTCATATATGATCAGTTAACTTTAGATTAACTGATCAATAACGTGCGTACTTAATAGCTGTTTTTAATGTTTTTTGCTTTTTGAGTGATTTTTCCCTCTATTTTGCCTTAAGAGTTTGGAAATAACCATTTAGACTGATGGGCCTCATCAGATGCAGATAGACTTACCACCACTGACTTCTGGAGCCGCGTCTTTAGGACAAATGAGGGCAGAGTAGAGGTGATCAGGCAAAATACATGGCACAACGTTTGGAGGAAACCAAACACATTTTATCAGCTTTAAAACACGGTGGAGGAGGGGTGATGAAGGGGGATTCTTTATCAGGCCAACATCGACACCCATCTCATTTTGGCCTTCATCTGTGGGTCATTAAATCCATAAAATACAGTTTTTTTTATTAAAGTTGTAGGGAAATCATATTTAAATGTCAAATCATTCCGGCTTAAACATGTTTAATGTTTAAATTTGTGTTTTTTTTTTCATTAACTTATGCAGGCCAGTTAGTTATACGTCAGCCTGAACACCTAAATTCAGCCAATCATATATCAATGTTCATCTGTCAATCAAATCTTTCCGGTCATAGCATCTTGATTCATATGTCGCAGCTAATATACGCAACAGTTGAATTAAGAATAATTTATTCTTCATTACTTTCCCATTGAGTTCCGTCCCAGTGTTCACGGGGATGGACGTCTGTGTCTTCAGCAGGCGTAGAGCTAACAGAACTGGCAGCGTTGCGAGGCAAGGGCTCAAACATGTACGGCTGGAAGCCTTCTATACCAAGCAAAGCTTTCCGTAAAAGTTTAAAAAACAATCCACTGGACTTGGTTTCCAAGATTTGAAGACGTTACAATACAAGGCGTTGTCTATATAAAGCCTCAAACTCACTGCAGATCCAGACATTTGAATTGAGAAAGCTTCCTGGAGAGGTAGCGAAACGTCTTCAAATCTATAAAACCAAGTCCATTGGATTTTTTTTTTTTTTTTACTTTTACTGAATGACTATGACCTGGATGACTGAGAATCTTCATCAGCAAACAAAGCTTCTGCCGCCCTGGCGTCCTCTTCCACAACATCTTTGTTACCGCTTTACTCCTCTAGATAAAAAAATTTTGATGGAGGAGACTCATCCACTCCGACACAAAACTCTCCTCCTCTTGCATGTTTCCTCTGTCCATAGCGTTCCTTGACAGTGTCGTTTCCAAGTCACCAATTTAGTGCTACTTTGGTCCCAATGTAATTTCCCGTTGGGAACCTACTAGCACTAAGTTGCTAACTGGTTATCAAGATGCGACCAATCACATTCACTTTATTAGCTTGTGTAAAGTCGTGCACCACTCGGGAGAATTCGGAAACGCAACCGTTGGAACAGCCGCTTCCCTACGACTTTAAAAAACAAGCTTAAGGTTTTTGTAATAACTTCCTTCACATGAGACTCTTTTCTGTGTTCTAGAGGTTGATAGACAAATCCAAGGTGACGTGCCTGAAATGGCTTCCGAAGTCAGAGAACCTGTTCCTGGCCTCCCACGCCAGTGGCCACCTCTACCTGTACAATGTGGACCACCCCTGCGGAACAACGGCACCACAGTATTCTCTGTTGCGGCAGGGTGAGGGCTTCGCTGTCTACGCCTGTAAAAGCAAAACGCCACGCAACCCTCTGCTGCGGTGGGCCGTGGGTGAGGGAGGCCTCAACGAGTTTGCGTTCTCCCCGGATGGCGTTCACGTGGCATGCGTGGGTCAGGATGGCTGCCTGCGTGTTTTTCACTTTGACTCGATGGAGCTGCAGGGGGTGATGAAGAGCTACTTCGGTGGGCTCCTCTGTGTGTCCTGGAGCCCCGACGGGAAATACCTGGCTACTGGCGGTGAGGACGATCTGGTCACCGTCTGGTCGTTTGCTGAGAGTCGAGTGGTGGCGAGGGGCCACGGCCACAAATCTTGGGTCAATGTTGTGGCGTTTGATCCCTTCACCACTTCACTGGAAGACGAAGAGCCGATGGAGCTCAGCGGCAGTGAGGAAGACCTCCATCAGGGGGCACAAAATAACCCCACGCACTTTGGCCGAGTCCGAACAAGCAGCACGCTGTCGCGGCTCTCTCGGCACAGCTCTAAAGGTGGTGGTTCGCCTTCTGTGACCTACCGGTTCGGCTCGGTGGGGCAGGACACCCAGTTCTGTCTCTGGGACCTGACGGACGACGTTCTCTACCCCCGTCTGCCCCTGTCCCGCGCCTTCACTAACACTTTTGGGCCGTCACTTCCCAATTCCACCAGCGGGGGGCTCAACAGCAGCTCGGTTGGAGGAGGGAGCAGCGGGGTGGAGGGGCATCACCACCCACCGAGCACCACCACCAGCTCCTCCAACCCACCGACGCTTCCCTTGCCGCTGCCTCGCTCCCTGTCCCGCTCCAACTCTCTGCCCCACCCAGCGGTGGCGAACGCTTCCAAGGGCCAGGGCGCCTCCGAGGGCGGCGGGGGAGGTGGAGGAGGGGGAGGAAGCAGCAGCGGTGGGAACAGCACCCCGTTCAGCATCGGCCGCTTTGCCACGCTGTCCCTGCAGGAGCGCAAGTCGGACAAATCTGGGAGCGGAGGGGTGGAGAAGGAGCACAAGCGGTACCACAGCCTGGGAAACATCAGCAAAAGCAACGACAAGATCAACGTGGCGCCCAGGAGCAACCGGCTAGATGGCGCCAAAGTCCTGGGGACCACGCTGTGCCCTCGCATGCATGAAGTACCGCTGCTGGAGCCGCTGGTCTGCAAGAAGATTGCACATGAGAGGCTGACCGTCTTGGTGTTCATGGACGACTGCATCATCACGGCCTGCCAGGAGGGTCTGATCTGCACCTGGGCGCGGCCGGGGAAGGCGGTACGTCTGAGAAGTCTGCCTTCTGAGATTCTGCTGCTTCAGATTTCTCTCTAGATCGGGGGTCCCAAACTTCTGTTCTTGTTGGCGACAACATTTAGAAATGTCCAACACAGACCAAATGGCTAAATTATTTCCTCATCATCCAGTCAAGTTATACAGATTCCTCCTGCTGACCTCTGTCTCAGAAACATTTTTTAAAAAAGAGGGAAAAAGTTGCAGGAAAAAAGTCTCCATGTGGGACTGAAGTTTGAGATTCCTGGTAGATGATTGAAGTAACAATTAGATGATCTGTCAACAGAATGAGTATTTCTTTCCCTTAAATAGGATAATTAGATATTATGAACTTGAAATAAGATAACAAGGTTGTTTTTTTATTCTTTTAAGCAAAAATAACCTTATTTCATTGGCAAGTTGTCTTATTCACTTGCTAAAGCAAGGAAACATACACTTTTAAAAAATGAACTAATTTCTGGTGGAAACCAGATGACGGAGGCTTGCAGTGTTGGTCTCCCCAGCATCTTTGGGGCAAAATAAAATCAAAGAGGAAACCAGCTGCAGGTCGTTTTTCCGGTCCCACCACTTCAAGATCCAACCATCCATCCATTTTCTGTCACGCCTATCCCAGCTGGGGTCACGAGGGGTGCTGGTGCCTATCTCCACCCGTCTACAGACGAGAGGCGGGATACACCCTGGACAGGTCGCCAGTCCATCGCAGGGCAACACAGAGACAAACAGGAAAAACAACCATTCACGCACACACTCACACCTAAGGAGAATTTAGAGAAGCCAGTTAGCCTAACAGTCATGTTTTTAGATTTTGTGAGGAAGCCAGAGTACCCAGAGAGAACCCACGCATGCTCAGGGAGAACATGCAAACTCCATGCAGAAAGACTGAAGCCCCTCTATCTGGCTCATGCACAGCCTTCATTCTGCTTTAAATAAGTCATTTTTTTAAATATATATATATATAATTGTATGCTCCCTGGTTTTGAGCAGATAAGACAATTTACCAGTGGAATAAGATGATTTAGATTTAACATAAGACAAAAAACATCTGTTATCTTTCAGGTGCAAAATATGTAATTATCTTATTTAAAGAGGAAAAATACTCTTTCTATTGGCAGATCATCTTATCTATACTTTCTATAAAATAAATATGATATGAAACAATATAATATGTGAAACAAGTTTGAAAAAAGAAAAATCTGAAATCATATATATAGCATATGCCTGCATATATTAAGCGCTGTAAAAAAAAAATTAAAAAAAAAGATGCAGGACAGTTGTTCTGCAGAATTGGACCTGATGACATTTTATAGCATTTCATATCCTCATAAACACAAGTGAAAACACTGATATAGCTTTTTAGTTTACTTGTCATTGTGTACACCACAGAGCTGGAGTTATTTGAGTTATTTTTCTTTAGGCTCCACCCAGGATAGGAGGGCGCCCAGAGCAGAGAGCACTATTATCACCTCTGTTGACCTCTGCTTTGATTTATATCAGGAATAAAGTAGTTTAGACTGTATATAACTCAGCTACTCTGACCCAGATGGTCTAATCCCTGTTTTCTCTCTTCTGTTCAGACCCTGACAGCACAGAACGGGAACTCTCCAAGTGGGACGGTGGTATAGCTGGAGGAGAAGCTTTGCACTCATTCCTTCCGCCCTCTTCTTCGGTTAACCTTTTTCTTTGTTTTTTTGATGCCACCTTCCATTTCTTAAAACCTTCTTTTTGGGGCCAACAACCAAAACCAAAGCCCCTCCCTCACCCCCTCTACCACTGCAGTATTAAACCCTGATGTGTTTCTGCTCTCGCTGAAACCAGAAAGTTGGGAAAAAAAAACATCTCATGAAACCTGGAATGCTGACGCAGATTCCTGGACATTTTTGGATAACAAATCCCATATTTTGTTTTTTTGTTTTGTTTTATTTTACTTTAGTTTATGGTCAGAAAATGAGTGGTTGTACGGAGTAGTTTGGAGCAGCTAGCATCTTACCTGCAGCAGACTGGAGTCAAATAAATATTAATTGAAAAGTTAAAGGAGGAGAGCTAATATTGAGAGCAGAAACCCATCAGTTAAGTTTTAAATTTGACCTGCTGAAGTCTAAACATTTCATTCTTCAATCAGCGGGTTTTATTTTAAAAGCACTTCAAAACCCATCTCCTTAAAGCCTCAAATTACTCCTGGAGGACATCTGCAGTATTACAGCTTCCACTGCAGGTTAGATGGTAACTCCTCATACAGACGCGCTCAGAATGGTAACCCTTTGTTCATTTATTTGAATCTAAACCCTGCAATGGAAAAAAAAGACATCTGATTCAACACTGTTATTATTTATCATACAAAGATGAATCCTTAAACAGAGTTTAGGGATTTCTTTTTGAAGGGAACGCCTGGTGCTGCTAATGTAACGCACCTGATCCACTGTCATTATTTGGAGGAGCAGGAGGTCGGGTTGCAGATACAGACGGTCAATCAAGAATCTATATTAAAGCTATTTGGAGAATTTGCTCCCTGATTAAAAGGCACATATAAAGACAGAAGAAGTTTAACTTTTAGCCTGTCTATTAAGTGTGATCCAAGTAGAGATGTCTGGAAGTAAAAACCAAATAAGGATGGGTTTATTTTGCTGCTCTGTAAAACAGTAAGGAAACATTAAATTAACAAGCAGATCTGATAAGTTTTGTTTTCCTGAAAGAATTCAAGTATATTGTGTTTTTTTTGTGTGTGCTTTTTTTCCCCTCCATCCGGATTTAAAGGAAGTAATTGGATTTATTACAGAACGTATTTGTTTTAAAATGCTGCAGTGTTTGGACTTCAGGAGGAGTTTTTATTTATTTATTTTTTTTTATCTTTTTTCCAGCCCTCCTTATCCTCTTAACCAGTAACCCTGAAGGAGCTTCATCTCATGCAACAGACTCTGAAAGCCACGGTCATCTTATTTATGTTATTTATTTTATCACAGGACTGCGTAGTAATTTATACTGTAAATATTAATGCTCTATAAATACAGTAAGGAGAAAAGAGACTCTGCAACGACGAAGGAGTAGAGATGAAGAATATTAATATATGAAGAAGCTTCTATTGTACATAGCAAGAGCAGGTGTAAACGGACTGGCTGCTGGTTTAGGGAGCCTGCAAACGTCACTGTGTTTTTATTCAGTGTTTTTTGTTTGTTTTTTTTCCTGTAAGCAGTCGGAACAGTTTGGATTCATGCCGCTCCGCACAGAACAGCACACCCACAAACAAACACGATCCGACACAGAAACACAAGCCCGTCACAGTGTAGCATCATTGACCTACTGTGTCACCTGAACTGCCTCTTGCAAGAATTTGCACATCCAATAAATCCACAGTGCACACCACTGAGCGGCTACAGTCAGGGTGGTGGTGTTTTGTTTTATTGTTGTTGTTTTGATTCTCACTCTGCAGGGAAGGCCTGGTTTCGCTCTCTGATCTGATTCTTGCATCCAGATCTGCTGCAGGCTCGGTCCAAGCGCTGCAGAATTCAACCCTGATCCTTTGCTGCACAGAGAGAGATCCTGGAAATCCATACTTTTGTTTGAATTTAAAATGCTAGTAAAAGATCTTAAAAAAGCCAACTAGAAACATAAACAAACTGCCTTCAGGGTAACCAGGGGATGGATGGATATATATATATATATATATATATATATATATATATATATATATATATATATATATATATATATATATATATATATATATATATATATATATATATATACATTTTTCAGGTTTAGATAACAATAGCTAAAGAATGGAATCTGCAGATGTTTATTTTCAACTAAAATCCTGGTTCAGCTGTTGAAATGTATTTCCTTTTCTTTATGTCCTTTTATTCCCCTTCCCTCTTTCCACTCTTTCTTTTCTCCTTTGTGAACTGGTAAAAATCTAGACTCATATTTTGTTAAAATAAGTGCATTTGTTCTTGAATTGAGGAGGTAAGACACTTTGCCAACGGAACAAGACAATTGGCATTTAGAATAAGAAAAAAACAATTGCTTTGTCTTATTTCAAGAGTATATTATCTAATTATCTTATTTTAAGAGTAAAAATACTAATTCCATTGGGAAATCATCTTTTTTAACTGCTCAAATTAAGGGTAAATACTCTAAATTTAAGAATGTTGACTTATTTCTAGATCGTTTTTGCAGTCTGTCATTACCTCTTTCCCTCTCTGTTATTCCCTTCCATCCTTCCTTTCTATCCATACTTCTCTCCTTTTTTTCCGATGCCAAGTCTGTTCATATATCCTACCTCCCTCTTTATTTTTATTTCTTCCATCTTCACTTTTGACATTCCTCTTTTATTTGTTTTCTTATTTATTTCCTTTGTTCTTCTCTTCCTTGTGTACTTCCCTATCTTTTTTCCTTCTGTCTTCAGTCCTTGTGCCCTCATTTATACCTCTCTTCCCTCATATTTATTTTTTCTTAATTCCTTTTTCTTGACTTCTCCCTTCTATGTTTCATTCCTAAAATCATTTTCTGGCCTACTTGCTCCTTTCTTTTGTCCTCCTGTCCATTCCCTCTTCCCCCTCCTACCCTTTCTTTTATAGTTCCTGTTTTCCCTTAGTCTTTCCTTATGTCTTTCATCTAACCTGGTCCTAAAATGCTGACAGGACTGGATTCCTCTCCTTTTCTCTTATGTTATAATGTTCTAAAATATATCAGCTTTACTGGGATTTTATTGATTTAATGAGCAGATAATGGTGAGTTATTGCCATGATAAATGGGATGCAGCTACATTGCTGCCAAGGCAGCTATTAGCTGAAATCAGATCAGGTTGCATCTAGCTGCATAGTGCTTCCGTTGCTGAAGCGGTTACAGAATCCATATGTATTAAATTGAAGACCAAATGTAACTAGATACTGAAGCGCTCTCTAAGTCATTTATTTCTTATATATATATATATATATATATATAAACCTTCAATTTGAAACATTTACATTTTTTCTTCAGGATTTCACTGTTAAACAGCAGAGCTGCTTACTTGACAGCAAGATGACCGGTTCGGACCTGCTGCAGAGGCATCAGATGCCCCGTTGTGTTTCTCATCTCTGTTGTCAAAGAAACGGCATGTCCTATGAGCTCAGCTTCGGATTTAAAGGCTTTTCTGAAAGTTGGTTTCAGATCGATGCCTTTTTCCCAACATTGAAGGCAAAGACACAGTTGTGTTTTCTGCAAACAGATTTTTTTTCTTAAAGCTGATCACAATGACTGCCAGAATAAACTGGAGTATCTTGTTTCTTTTGCCTTGAGTCACAACATGATCTCTATGATTCAGAACAATTAATTCTATCGGCACAGATTTTATTTAGACAATAATCACAAAGAAGTTAAAATCCTTAGGAAATGCCAGGCTTGATGTGACAAATACCTCTGTAGAAGTGTTTGAATTTTATTTTTAAAGTGTTGGAAATTTCCAGAAAAGGGAACAATTATGCTAAAAAAAAAATAAAGGGGGCCTCAAAAACAAAACCTGCCAACTTGAAGACAACTTTTGATTTCAAAAGGCTATGGAGAAAGTACAGTTTAATAAACGTATGCCGTCCAGTATCTTCTTAGAGGTTAGGGTTCAGTCTCCTATTTGCAGCTGGTACAATTTCCTGCAAGAATGAGCTTTAAAGAAGCAATTGCATGAAATCTATATAAAGAATAAATGTCTCCCATTTTAAATATTAGTAGTTTATTGATTGCTCTGCAGCTTTCCAGGAGATAAGGGTCCAACATGGGTTTTTCCCCAGGAAAGGGTGGATCATCTAGTTTGATCCCATGCTTAAAATAAACTAAGACTTGGCCAGACTCCAATGAGGCAGTGCTTATAGCACGAAGAGTGGGACTAATGAATGAAAAACATCCTGAAACAGAGGCAGTCAAACTCCCCAACACATGTTTTTCACTTTCCCAACTATCCATGTTAGCTTCTGTATAGAAGCAGGACAGAAACTATTTCTTCACTTTCTGTTTTTCTCACAAAAATATTGCTTCCAAATGGTTTCACATCCACATGATGTAAGTAATTTTCTACTCTAGTAGAAGAACAAATCTGCAGGATCTGCCTCACAGGGAGGTGCTTCTCTCCAAATTCCCTAAAGCATGCTTCTTTTCAGCTGAACTTCTCACATGATGATTCAGAAAACCTCAACCCTCATCAGCAGATTCAATGTGTGCATGTTTTTCTTCTGAGGTAAGTGATTGAGTCAAGACTTACAAATATGCAGCTATGTAGACTGATGGAGGGATTTTACGTGGACTCAACTGAATCACCTGTGTTGGTGAGAATTACAGGAATGAAGATAGTTAATTGTTTAGAATTAATAAAATGTAAAGTGCTTTTTTATTAGGTATTTATTTTTTTGAAAAATTAAAGCTTTAACCAGTAAAACATTTAACACCTTATATCTACACCGGCTCAATACTCACAAAAAAGGTTGACCCTTATCTATGACCGGTGTTGGCCAGTAGGGGGCGGCATTATCTACTGTAGGGAAACAGCCATCTAACGTTATGACCAATTTTAAAAAGACATGACCATTAATAAAACTGTTTATATCAAATAGAATATATAAAAATGCAGGTTATATTTCAATGGAAATGATAATGTCATAAAGCACTCAATAAAAAAACTTGTTTAGAGTCTATTGCTGTTGTCATATATCTTGTACAAGACATTATCCTGTCCAAGGATGACAGAAATCGCATTTACATAGATTTCTTTATAACTATTAAACATTACGATTTAATTAATTGGAATCACTAGGAGCTTATACGAGCTAAATGTATATGATATATATAGTATCATATAAGTAAAGTAAGTATAATGCATTCGTTTTTATTTAAACAAAATGTTTTTCAATCTCATTTTTTGTTTTTTATGCTCATAACTGCCCCAAACTTTCCGATTGTAGCTGTGCTGCCTTTTTGCCTTCGCGAGTTTTTCTGGCTCAAAATGGTGTCAGCCATTTTACATGTTTACAATTTTTCCTATCCTATGTAAGATAACAATCTTGATCTGCTGATACAAATGTGGTTATATGCGTCCAGTAAATGACTATCTCTAGGAAGTCGATTAGTTTCATTTTGGGTTTTTTAGAGGGGTCATACTTCTTACTTCTTCAAAGTCAACCACAGGAGACGGAAACAGAAGAAAATGACCGATCAATTTCAGCTGTTATTTTGAAAATATGGTAGTTTTGACATTTTTTTTATCTACTCGTGCAATGAAAAGAAAAACAATTCCTTGCCTCTTATATGTGCAGAAATGTGTTTGCATATACGAAATGGCCTACAGTTACCTTTATCAAAAGGGGGGCGTGACGTAGTGCGGGTGCGTCATAGCAGCCTCAAAAGAGTCAAGCTAGAAATGAGCAGCACGCGAAATCTGGGGAGCAAATGAAAAACAAAAGCCTTCATCAAAGGTGACCTACTTTCCAGGTGCCTTCAATGTCACTGGGAAATCTAGGATTCTCAATTCCCCATAAAACTATTCCAAGTCAGAGTTGTAGAAATAAGTAGGATATGTTATCCAAAAAGGCTGCGTTTTAGGTGAATGGTTTTGCAATGGTCACAGCAATCGATTTTATCTTAGTAATTTGGATTTCCATCCAGTTAGAAAAACAGCAACAGTTAATTACCATGTTAGCGTGGCATCAGAATTAAAAGAACGCACGGAAATAGCACGTTTTATCGATACTATATTAGTCTGAACGGTTCGCACAACCACGAGGTTGGAGTAACGACATTTAGCAGTTAAAATTTCGAGGTAACGCGAATGCCTCGTGTGAGTTTAAGTGCAGTACTTTTCAGTCTGAATCCTGAGGAAAGAAAGTCAGAATTGTGCGATTAAAGTATGAATTCTGACTTTTTCTTAGAATTCTGACTTTTTTCTCATATTATACTGTAATATAATTTAAAAATCAGTTCACTTTTTGTATTTTTTCAGTGGCCCTAATCCTCTTCGTAACTATACGTTGGTTTGGGCTTTTTTGTGTTTAATGCACAGTTAAACTATTACACATATTGTAAAACTGGCCCAACGGAGTACCGTAGATATTAACGTATTGTTGTATAGCTTTTATTCGAAGCGGCGCCCTGACTCTGTGCAGATTTTATTGTGAAAGGTCTAGCGGAAGTATCAGCCTTGGCCATCATTTGGCTCCGCGCGCAGTGATATCAGCTCATTCGTTGTTTTGCTTCGCTGAAGTCAACGTCGATAGAAAACACAGCCTTCGTTTTGGTCTTCTGATGAAACATGGAGAAGGAGGACGGGGTCCCGGCGGTTAAACGGTGAGATTGTTCACTAATTTAAATGAAATGTACGCGTTTAAACGGGTCAGTGGGAGAATTAGCTCGAAA